GTGTGCTCTTCCGATCTCCCCAAAACCCCAAAACCCCATGAGTTGAGAATCAGAGTGAATTTGTAAAATGAATTTATTTAGGTTGATTTATGAAATTAAGTTTTGTTATATAAAATCAATCATCTGAATCAAAAATGTCTTATTCGAATCAAAATGATCAATTTAATCAGTTTTAAGGTTTTGAAATTTGTTTAGGCTTTGTGAGCTCAATCATCTGTCATACAAAGGAGAGCAGCACCTCTTCTGATCCAGTAGTCTTGAGGTACCTCCGAGGACAAATGCAAGAATAGTACGAAGTTGGTTGAGTGACCTGTTGTACTCAATTCTCCAGCTCTGACACTAGTCTTATATAGAGGACAGAAATAGATCTTCTCCTCTGGTACATCTTTCTCTATTACTGGTTCAAGCCAGATAACAGGCATCTTAATTATAGGCACCTTTGGATCAGAATCATCAACCATCTTCTTCTTGAAGTCCCATTTCGCTCCTTGAAGGAAAAGCCCGTGGATATTTACACCATCTTCGGGGGTTTCCTTGACTTCAGCTTCGAAAAATTCTCTCACATGAGTTTTGAATGCCAAAGTATCAATAGGTGTTTGGGTCTTTCTGGCGTATTATTGGAGAGTAGCAGTCATGAAACCTTGAGGGAAGAAGAATGCTGGAAGCCAATAGGTAGATGGTGGTCCTTAGTAAAGCCATTTACCGATGAAGTCGACTCTGTGAATCAGATCAAGAACCCAAGAGCTGAGTGGCTTCAATGATGGATAACCGACCTTTTCCCAGAGTGTCGGTACCTTATTGTTCAAGAAGTTGTTGAACATCATCTCAAGCTCCATAGACATAACAACTGTACCTTCAATAGCCTTGTCGAGATTAATGAGACTGCTTCTCATAACACCGAGTAACTTGTTGAATCTATCGATTTCTTGACCAACGAAGACACCGAGTGATAGCATTTGCCCGGTCTCAGTTGTAGCAAATGTATGCTCATTTGCTCTCTTCTTATCTAATCTCTTTGGAAGTTTGTTTACAATATCTCTGGCAAGATCTTGCACTATTTCTTCTGAGGTCTTAACAGCTTTACCACCTGAGATTCTTGGCTGAATCAATAGAATAGTCTCCATAAATTCTCTGACTGTCTTTTACTCGAAAGTGATGTTAGCATTTGGATGTAGACCGAAAACTTCTGGATCATCTTCTAATGGGAGTAAGTTTATGTAATTCTTAACCTCTGATAGAGTTCCTTCATGGGGAGCATAGTAGTGTTCTAGTTTGGAAAGTCTATAGTTATCATTCATAATTTCAGCACAGAAGTATCTCTTAAGAAGTGCCTTTATAAGTCTGATATCTTTATCATCTGTAACTCTACCACCATAGTTGACTTCGGCGCAGAGATAGTTAAGAGCAGCATAGGGGATATCTGGCTACTCATTCAAATACATCTTGAGTTGAGTCTTTGAAGTTATGAAATCTGAATTCATCCATTCATAGGGAATGTTCCAACCGATAGCACCGTACTTTCTTCTCTCTAAGATGACTGCATGGAAGTAAGCTAGAGCGAATAAGAGCTTTTTGTATTCTCTTGGCTTAGTGCATGATTCATAGTCCTCCTCTGTTACTTCATTGAAAGTACCCTTTAAGTTTGCTTTAAGTCCCTTAGGTGGTTCATTTGTAATTTTAATTCCACTTTGTAGTACGGGAACTGGGAAGTTTCTGCTTGGCATTGAAGTTAGCCAAAGTCTGTACTCTGGATGCATTTCAGCTTCATTTTGTCTTTCTTGAGTCTTTTCAAGTTCTGGCATCCAACTGGCTGACAAATGACAGTTCTGTAGACAAACCCAATCTCCTGCTCTTTGACCTGCATCAATAAGTTTCTCAGCAATTCTACCCTGACCTTGGCCGAGTGATAAAATTTTAAGTCTTAACTCCATTCCTTTTGATTTAGCTAAGTTAACTAGATAGGTAATGGGATCAGCGCCTGGTGATAAAACGAAAATAATTGGAGTGGTGTTCATTGAATCTGAGTAAGCACCCATAAGATCGAATGGTGGACTTTCAATGAATTTCTCACCTAGCTCACTCTTGACAAATTCTTTAATTCCAGATATCAATTTTTCTTCTCTCATGACCTTGATGAGCATAAGCTTCTAGAATGGTGTGAGTCTATCTTCAAATGCTTGAGGGAGAGGGATCAAATGTGGATCTTCTGATTTTAGCATATCCTTCCAAGTCACCATGTCGACTATAATATTGTTTAAGACAAATAATAAGAATACCTCTATCTTTGAAGGACTGTGAAATGTCTTTAAAATTGTAATGAGTTTCCTCAAGTCCAAGTAACTTGAAGAATATTGCTTCTGAGATGTAGTCAACATCTTTTTCAAATGAGGAGAAGTCAGTGCTTGAACCTCTTAGATAGAAGTTCCACTCGTCAATGCTAATGGCTCCGCTTCTTCTGAGAATACTGGAGGAGTTCAAGAAGGCATAAAGCAACTTATCTCTTTCGAAAAGACCTCTACAGATGTTGATGAAGAATGACTCAGTGATATCTGATATCAAAATGCTAAGACGTTTCTCTAGTTAGTCACTCTTTTCTGACTTGTCCAGTCTTCTGTTGAAGAGTCTGCTGAAGAACTCAAGTGAGTACTGATACATAGGGTCAATCAGTGACAGATCGGCGATAACGAAATACAGAACTGAACCTCTTCTGGCGACCATACGATACTTTTCTCTGTTCTCATTGATCAGGATGGCTGTTTGCTCTGCTTCAACCATTCTTTCGTTAATTGCTATTGATGTCTGTTTACTCTAATCCAAAGTAATGATAAGCTCTTCATCATCGAGAATATCGCCTGATGCCTCACTGACTAGCTTGAGAATCTTATCTTCTAATTCCTTCAGTTGTCTCTTGAAGTCACTCAGCTAAACGACAAGTTGATCTTTTTGCTGCTCTAGCTCTGGTTGCTCGTACTTGACGACATCGACTAGCAGTTGATCTTCTAGACCCTCTGGTGTGACAGTAAAGTTGATAATGGTCACCTTAATACAGATTTCTGGCAAGTAGTGAGGGTTGGACAATTTTGTGGTGATGTAGAACTTGAAATCGTTGCTGTATGGTACCATTGTATCTCCGACCTTCAACATCCACTGGCCTGCAATTTTTTCGAGATTCTTTTGAAGGACTGGTTCAAGTGATGGATCTAAGGACTCATCAATGTTCTCAAGGAGCACTGGTTGACCCATTCTGATACCATTTTCAACTACTTGAAGGAACTTATTATATGATAGCTTGATGACTTGCATGTTGTTCTCCTTCTCCATATTTTTGATCCATTTGTTACCCTGGGATTGTGGATCGATCATCAGTGGCCATCTCTTTGCCTGTGTGACGATGATACCGTTTTCTACTGATAGGTTATCAGCTGGCAGACCACAAATGTTCCACTCTCTGATTTGGACTGGATCTCCAAGGACTCTTTCTACTGTGAAGTCATGTGAGAAAGGAATCTTTTTGTTTTTACTGAATTACATCCACTCTTTGAGAAGTTGTTCTCTGTACTTAGAGGTGAACGTGCCCACATAGGATATGTAACCAGCAGCCAGTATGATGTTACCAATCAAATTAACAAGATCGACTTCAAGCACTTTGACTTATTAAGCCCATCTTTTACTCTCATCTGCCAGACCGACGACAAGCTTCTCAGCTCTGCCGAGTTATACCTCAATCTTTTCCTTTTGTCTGGTTAAGTCTTCGAGTTTTCTCTGACTTGCAGAATAGTTGGCTTGCAAAGCAGCAATCATATCTCTGATCTTTTAAAGACTGGCTTATTTAGTCTTGAGTTCGTCCTGAGCTACCTTAAGTTCACCTTCTGCTTTACCGAGAGCTTCCTGTTTGGGCTTGATGATCTTAAGCACTTCAGAGTAGTTATCAATAGCCTTACACCAGAGACAAATAGATTTACCTGCCTAAGACTTCTTCTCAATAAGAGATGGGTTGAACTTTGGATCTTAGGTGTATTTCTTAAGTTTCTTCAACTTTGATTCCTTGATCTAGTCTTTGTTGAAACCCTTCAACATGTTAATGAAGTTTTCTGGATTGTTCATGAGTTTCTTACCCTCATCCCAATTCTCCTTTACGTCCATCAATAGACACACAGCTGAAATAACTAGAACTAGATCATCGGGTGGTTTAGGATAAGACTTCATTTCAATGATATCTCCTTTGTTAAGAGTATCAAGAGCAGCCAAGGCTTCTCTGTAAATGGGCATAGCTTTTTGGAGTTCTCCCTCGCAATCAGTCTTAATCGCCATGACCTCATTAAATAGCTTCTGAGTTTCAGCTTCTTCCTTCTCAGAGATCTTCTCCTGCTCAGCAGCAATCTTTTGTTATTTCTCTAAATCTACCACCAGCTTTTGTGTTTCTTCTTCCTTACGATCGATCTCAGGTCTCAGTTTGATAAGCATAGCCTTCAAGTCGTCGACCATCTTATTGGTTTCAGATAGTCTAGTCAGACCTCCCTGATATCTTGAGATTTTCTGTGGCACAATACCTCTCTAGGTCTTAAGCATCTCCTTGTAAGTTTTGATAAGATCAAGATAAGATGTTGGAGTTGTGTAATTTCTTCTTCTCAGCTCAGCGAAATATCTATCTGAGGAAGCGCTGACACTATTGTGGATCTCGACTGACATCTGGCAAAGACTGTCCATGAAGTCTGTAATACCGAGTTGGATCTCATTCTCACTGTACTCTCTGTGAGCGACAGAGTAGAGGGCTTCAGAGGGCCATGGGTTGTACCAATCAATTGTGCAACAGTTGATGATTGATGGGAATTGACGGCATCTGTTTCTGAACATCTCACCGACTGGAGAGAATGCCAACACGATGTGAAGGTTTTCTCTACAAAGCTAGACGAAGTAAGCATAGATTTAATCTCTGTTCTCTCCTACTTTGGCTTCTCTGGCTTTTGGAGCGACTTCATCACAAATCTAGGCTTTTTCTTCTGGAGGGAACAAGTTTGGAACCTCTCCACTGTTGAGTAAGTTGTTGATGTCTTCTAAGAAACTTTCTTTGACGATCTAGGTGTCACTGAATAAGAAGACTCTGGGCTCATTGTTAACTCCACTGTCCATAAGCAATTTCTTGATATCTTCGTGGAATTCCTTCTCTCTGTAGTTCTTGGTGATCTCAATTGAGATAGTCTTCATTGAGTTCATGCTTGAGGCGAGCTTGGCCATAGATCTTCTGCCAGAACCACCGACTCCAACCAATAGTGAGTTACCTCTTTGCTGTCTTAAGACTCTTGAAATACGGGCTAAATGCTGAATACAGTCAGAGAAGAACACAAGGTTCATTCTTGGGTTGTCATTGTTGTATAGTTCCAATTATTCATCTAGTCTTGGAATAAGAACATTAGTCTCGCTAAGCTTGAGATACTATCTATCTCCAGCTTCAAAGTCACCAAAGAGAACATCTTGATAGTCTTTTAGTTGCCATTCCATATCTAAATAGCTTTCTAGGATTTCATGTACTAGTTAACTGAATTTTGTTCTATCCTTGTCATCGACTAAACGATCTCTGAACACTCTGAACAATTCATGCACCCAGAGATATACCAAATACTCCTTGTTTTCAAGATTTTCTAAGTTAATCATCAACATGCCTTGAACGACCTTAGACAGATCTCTTAAGTTGAAAGTGTAATGGCACTTAGTGGGAGTTGGGAGGAAGTCCTTAATTGTCTTTGTGTAAATGTCGACTGAGGCCTTAATGATTGGCTCAGCAAAGATGTTTAAACCTGATTGCTCATTTTAGTCCAAGAAACCCTTGAGGATTGAGGTGAAGATAGTTCTCATAGAGTTTTGTGAAAGATCAGGGACCCAAATCATGTTGAAGTGTCTGAATAATCTGGGAGTCACAGCGTTTCTACCACCACCTGGGGGAGCGCAAGCGCAAACGAATCTGGTGTCCTTGATTTACTTGAATATAAGTTTCTTAGTATCATAGAAACCAGTGGAGTCGATGGTTTGTCTCAACAGCTCGCAAGGTGGTTATGAGCCATAAGTATCGAGCTGTGGCATGTTAACATCATCGATGAAGAAGATCATCTTTTTACCACCTGGTGGACCAAGTAAAGTCTTTCTCTTTGCTTCAAGATTACCCTCGAATGCATCTTAGAGATTCTTGGTGGTAGTCTTACCTGAGAAGTTAATGAAGGCATAGACAATATCTTCAGGAGTGGTGAACAAGAAGTCCTTGGTAATGACAGACTTACCAACTCCGGTTTCTCCAGTAATAAGCACATTATAGCCGTTGAACATAAGAGTCTTCAAGATGAACTTGTACTTGACTGTATCACTAGTTGGGACAAGAATTTCGAAGAAACTCTTGTTAGGATCGTACTCGAATGAGGTGATCTGCTCAATCCAAGGCTCAAACTGATGAGTGGTAACATCGATACCGTATTCGAAGATGTCTCCATCTGGGAACTGTGGCATGATCTGAATGATTTCGCTCTTCAAGGCATTATTGAAAGCTTTTCTAGAGGAATCATGGAGGTTTCCTCCTAATGACCAAATCATAGAGAATACTAGATAGGTGAGTACAACCTTTTCAGGGTAGATGGTTATCTTTTTGAGGTCTAGATTCTCTGGGTTGAAGAACGACTGAATCATGTTGAGGCAGGATTGGACTAAGTTGACGTTAGCTGACTCTACGATTTCCTTGCACTCCTCTCTGATGAATGGAAGCATCTTGTTGAATACTTTTCTCACATGCTTGATGATAGTCTCCAAGTGATTAGCAGGGATTACCTCAGTCATGTTTTCTTTCCAGGTATCAATGAGGGGTTCCCATCCAAGATGGATTGGTTCCAAGTAGACCATACCGCATCTGGAGACTGTAGCTGGAGAGGCGACTCTCAAGTCTTGTACCTCGAACATCATTGTGCAGGTTTCTGGCATCTTGATTCTCTGCCCATTGGCAAGACAAAGCATCTTATTATCGTCAAGCACAGTATTCATATTCTCGATCCAAAGAGCATCGACTGGACCATCGAAGTTGATCCATCTCTTTTGATCTGGCTTATCTCCTTCCAAGGCTTGCACAGCATCCTTCACCAGCTTTGATACTAGACCTTCAGTCCACTCGTTGGTGTAAATGTTAGTCTCTCCAAATAGTTCTCCCATTGTAACTGACTTTGGATTCAATGTATCAATATGGACACTTCTGTACCATGGATCCTTTTGGCCTTCATTGAAGAGTTAGAATAGAGCCTTAGCAAGTACCTTGCAGCAGGTAGTCTTGCCAGTACCAGTTAATCCGACCAACATGACTCCATGTCTGACCATCATGGTCTCTAGCAGTTAGATGACTTTCTTGACATACTTTGGTGGGCATTAAAACTTTCTCTGTCTGAGTTGATTCTCAATAGCAAGTTGCAGTAGACCGTAGTCAAATGGCTGCACTATAACTCCAGGGAACAAATCGTTCACAATACCTTCAAAGAGTGGTAGATCATGTTCTAAGAATTTAGGCACGTTTGAGTCTCTCATAGCTCTGATCAGCACCATGTTTTCATCTGCATTGGACTCCTTTCTTCTGAGTGAACCAGCCATGACCAAGACTGACTTGACTGCTCTCATTCCGAAGTCATAATGGTCTTGCTTGGACAGCTGCTCTGAAGACAGCTTGTACAACTGGACCATCTTTCTGGATAGCTCTTCTGCGTTTTGGAAACCTTCAGAATACAAAATAATCTGTGCAATAAGTCTGTAATCGGGGATCATCATAGAAATTGGTCTGAAGAGAGATTTCAAGTTGTCAGGGAGTTCAGTACGACCTGCGTAACCTGGGTTCATAGTAATGAAGACTCCGAATCTAAGGTTGAGTGGAATGATTTTCTCGTTGAACTCGAATTCTGGTAGTTTAGCTCTTACAGCTGATTGAATGGTGAGGATTTGCTGGGCAATAACTGACAAGACTTCAATATCAATTCTGTTAAACTCATCGAAACAAGCCCAAGCGCCACCTTAAGACAGACCTGAAAAGAATCTTCCCATCATTTTGTAATCTAGACCATCACTACAATTGAAGACGACGCACTGAATGGCTAAAGCCTTAGCTAGATCCTTTGTAGTCTCAGTTTTACCAGTTCCTGCTGGACCTTGTGGGTTTCCACCATAATTAAGATGCAGAGCACCTGTTAGAGTCATATAACACTTATCAGTAAGTGGAGTGATAACAAGACGAGGACCGTTTCCTAAGTATTCATATCCGTATGCGAATCTAGTGTTAGTCTGTCTAGCGAAGCAATCATCCTTTTCTTCTTCTTGCTCCCAGTAGTATCTAAGCTGTCTAGTCCATTCGAAGTCATTTACACTCTCGACTCTTGCTTTGATCATTTGCTTAACGACATCTCTAGCGTGAATATCTATAACGATAAGAGCTCCCATTACTGCTCTTTCAAGTCTGTTAAGATCTCTTCTAACTAACTCTACCATCTTTGATAGTTGTTGAAGTGAGAATTCCAAAAATTCGTCTAGAGCTTTCTTGTTCTTTCCTTTCATAATTTCAGCAAGTGCGTCAGTAACACCATTTGTCCACTTGACTTGATCGATTGTGATAACTGGCTGAGCAGCATAGTCAAAAAGCCACTTGTTTCTTTCAACTCCATTCTCTGGGTACTCAACTAGAGCCTTCTTAGTGAAATCATACAATGACTTAACCATCATTTTCTCAATATTCATCAACCAGAATTCGACGTTACCTTCTGCAAAGACTGATTCTGAGAATTCAACGTACTCTTGTTCTGCTGACCACATACCAACAATCTCCTTAGATCCCTTTTCAGCTTTGAACTCGATCTTCATAATGTTATCAAAGCACTTTCTCAAGTGAGGTTGCACGGCATGAGCATTTCTGGTTTGTGACAGAATTTCGAGCAACTCATCATTTGACAAGAAATAGAATCTGGGGAAGGCTCCTCTCTTGGTCTCGAGGTAGTCCTCAAGTGATTTCTGAATATCTTCAAGAGTTTTGTTAGCATTTTGGAACTTTGAGAGTAAGGCGTCACTGCTGCAGCACTCTATAATGATTGGTGATTTCTTGGTTCTCATCATGATATCTCTCCAGAACTTATCAACTTGCTGGAAGAGTTTGGCCTCGTTAGGCAATTGCTTCTGGATATCTTCAGCGTTGAAGATGTTTTCAAGATACATCCATTGTCTTTGGAAGGTTAGCCACTCATCGATCACATCACCGATGTAACCCAATTTCTTCTCCCATTCTTCGACTTGAGCTCTGATTTCAGTAACGTGCTTGCTTCCCATCATAGTACCAATACTCATTTGGTTGTCTTCGAGTTAAGTGATGGTGTCCTCAACATCAGCAATGATAAATCTATCCTTGGTGTCTCTGTAATTCAAGACAGTGAATTGCATTTCTCTCCAGATGGCAATGATATCATTAAGAGTCTGCTCAATTGTAGCTTCTCCAGATGCCATAGCTGAGATTTCTTCAATCTTTTCAAAGTGATCTGCAATACCTTCGTTCAGCAAGTGCTGGAATGTGAACTGTCTGAGATTAGTAGCAGTGAAGTTTTCTAATAGACCGAATACTTTGTTCCAGTGACGTGGCAGCATGTTTTTATTACCTAGGGCCTGGATGAGGTTACTGTGAATTGATACTGCCTTAACTTCTGTTTGCAAAGACTCTAGCACTTCATCCTTTTGATCTCTTGGTAGCTAAGTCTTAAGAATGAGATTGTCCTTTTCGTAGTCCTTAACATTCTGTACTATTTCTTGGGCGTCTAGTTCAAGGAAGGCATCTCCGTACCATTTCTTGCTCAACTCAGCGAATCTCTCTCTGTTCTTCCATAGTTTGTGTCTGATATCGAATTTCTTGGTGAAGTCTTCTATTTCCTTGATGCCAGATGGGTTGATTTCAAGAATCTCTTGATAAGTCTTGTATTGATTAAGTCTCTTGACTGAGTCATCGAACTTCTTCTTGATTTTGTTAAGTTCATCAAGTGCTCCAGCTGAGGGAGTGTTCTTTGCCATGAGACTTTCAGAGGAGAGTCTTTCAACCTGGTTGGTGATCTTTTCCTTCTCCTCATTGATCTTCTTGTCAAGCTCCTCAACGTTGTTGTCCTTGGACTCAGCGATTGAACCCTCAGCTCCAGAAATAAGTGTTTCGACCTCGGTGATACTCTGGACTATGATTTCAAGTTTCTGAATGAGCAGTTAGTGCTGGGTGTTGAAACTCATCTCATCCTTAGACTTGTATCTTCTAAGCACTACATTCATCTCTTCAAGACGCTTCTTCTCCTCAATCAAGTTGTCCTTTTGGTTCTTGCACATCTTCAAAGTGTGGACGTAGTCTACATATGTTGCCAGTGGGTATTGAGGCTTGCCCAATGAGATCTTGATCCTTTCCAAGGCTTTGATAATATCCTTGCTCTTTTAGTCAGCAAGATCAAATAGGAATTGCTTCATGTTTTGGATCTCATCCTTGACTCTTTTAGTGAGTCTGTCTCTGAGTTTCTTTCCAAGAATGTAGACAAATCCCTGTTGATAGTAAGTCTTGATGTTTTTGTTGATGCTGAGTTCCCACTTGACAAGTTTGTCGAGCCATGTCTTTATTGACTCGATGTCCTGGTGCAATTGCTTGAAATCCTCAAAATCAAATGTGGTGTCGAAGTCATTGATCTCTCTGCAGTTCTCAATCTTCTAGATCTCAACAAGTTGATCCTTGAAGTCTTGGTCGATTCTGTTCTGAATAGCCTCCTTTGAAGCTTGATATTGGAAAGATCCCTCAACGATGCTCTTGAATTTAGGACCAGAATCTGAGATAAGTCCTTGAATGAATTGGTTGAAGTTTGGATGCGAGATGACTCTAACTACCTCGGCAGTTACTGAAAGCATGTCTTGAAGAATCTTGTCAAACTGAGTGAAGAATTCGTTCTTGGTTGGGTTGAATGACAGTCCTACCTCTTTGGTATCATAGCTGACAGTTGTAGAGATACTGTACTTCTTGGTGTTCTTCATCTCGTAGAGGATCAAGTCTGCTGACTCTTGATTGATTTTGACTTGTGTCTCCACTACCATGTAGTCTATCAATCTGATGAATGTTCCGAGACTGTGGTAGTTTCTCTTGGCTAGTCTAAGTACTCTTGACTTCAATTCATCTTCTTGCTTTTGAAGTACCATTGATTTGTTTTTGGTTTGCTAACCCATCTTAGAATGCTCCAAATCTTCCTCTTCTCTGAGAGTTCTGGACTCTCCAACGTTTGAGACTAGTCCATCAAGTTTCTTAATGAGTTCTTCAACTTTGTCGTTATAGTGCTACTTGACCATTTCTCTTTCGTTCTTTTGTTCTCTGAAGAAGTCCTCAAGCTCGAATTGCTTTGATCCGACCTTAGGAACAATGAAGGTTTGGAGTGACTTCATTTCAAAGAGAGTTTTATTGATATCCATGAATGTACCAATGAAAGCTGGCCTGGATAGGATAAGGTTTCTAGCGAGGTTTTGTCTGGTTCTGTTGTACATCTTGAAACGAACATTACCTTTCCAGGAGTTGAAGACCTTTCCAATCAAGTAGTGTTTGAAGAATTTCATGGAGGTCAAAACGTTGTACATAGTTGATTGTTGCATCCAGTCACTCAATGAAAAGAATTCTGTGGGGACTACTTCTCCCTTTTGAATTTTCTTGTTCCTATCTGGGCAAATATGAACCACTCCCTGAGCTGAAATAGTGAAGTAATCATTCTTGAGGGCCTTTTCATCGATTTAAACAACCAAATCATATGGTCTAAACATATGTGGTGGCACAGGAGCTCTGTTGCAGTTCAAGAATTTGATTGGAGTGCTGTTACCATGTTAAGCGAAGAAAGATATGGCCTGCTCTCCTGACTTTATCTTGATAAGCATCTCGTAGATTGGGGTACCCTTTCTGATGAAGTTAGCAGTTCTGGCTTGTAAAGCCTTGCTCTTAGACTCATCTTCATTGTTCTCAATGACTTGTCTGAATTCTTCGAAACCAATAGACTGATTCATTCTCTCCTCTTCTTCTTCCTATTCAAATACATTAAGAATATGAAATCAAATAAAGGGAAATGCCTCCATATTTGAATTCAAATATGGAGTATTTCGAAAAAAGAGAAATAGACCTGTATCTTACCCCATAAACGTCCATGTCGCCGTTCATTTCCTCGTCCATCTCGTCAACTTGATCCATTCCCATGTCCTCGTCCATTTCATCGATAGCATGTTCCTCATCATAGCTTCCTCCTTGTCTTCTCTTCTCAGATGTGCTTTTCTGCTAATTAATAGGAGGAAGTTATGTGGAGTTGATAACTCCCGAGGAAAGTCTTTGGTTTTAGCCGTGCTTAGGCACAGACTGTTGTTAGTTTGATAGTATAGGTAAGGAATACTCAGCAAGTTCGACATCAGCATTGAAATGATACAGACTCTTGTAGTAAGATCTGTCCTGTCTTGAGGATGATGCTGCACCCATTGCAAAAACATTTGAAGAGTGCCCTCCCATTCCTGGAGCAGCAGCTCTGCCGCCTCCCTTTAAAGAGTAGCCGGGCTTCTGCTATATGTAATTAAGCTTCTGTCCATGAGAGAGTATGGGTAGAGTGACTTACATTCTAATTTGACTCGTTATTCATAAAGTATAGTTCTTAAGCTCTATCTCTATTCAAAAAGTTTATGATTATAATAAAGTCTCTCAAATATCCTTTAAGAAAGATTGAATACTCAATACTCTCAAATAAATTTAAATTTATTCGCTCCCACTATAAAAAATAATCTCAATGGGGTTTTGGGGTTTTGGGGTTTTGGGG